TGGTCCCCTCCATTTCCAGATAGCCCGCCAACATCTCTCGTCCCAGTTCGAATCGGTTAAGCAGGCCAGCGCATATGCCGAACGTACTCGAAACCTGCTATCCGTCTCAGGTCCCCAGGTCGGGATATCCTCCCCTGAGTTTCCGTGAGGTTGTATCCCTATGACCTGCAATACTATATCCTCAAGTAAGAATGAACGGAGGAGGGTAAGGTTCCACTCATCTGTCTCTGTGGTAAAGTCTGCCACGAGGGCATTCAAATCAGGGGCCGGGTTGTCTTCCTGCACCAAATCAAGAAGAATCTCGCCGGAGTCCAGCCATCGATCTGACCAGAACCGTGTGTCCCGGCCACTCTTAATGCTCATTTGGGTGCCCGCAACCGTGATCGGCCACGCCTTCATGATGCCCCTCCATGTCGTCGACCAACGTTTTGATTTTTTAGCCTCCATCATGCCTTGGTTTGTTCTGAAGTACTTCGATTGCAGTACTCTTACCCAGAGTTCCTCCGGTGTTTTGAGGAAGGACCAGGCTAGCTTCGCGAGGAAAGCTAGATTAAGCTCATGTGCTTTCCGCAGTCCAAGACCTCCTTCTGATTTCGGTCTGCAGACACGATCCCAGTGGACAAGGTGCATCTTCTTTGAAGAAGCGGTGGAGCCCCAAATGAATCTCCGGATTCGCTGGTCAATGAGATCACAGATAGACATTGGGAGCAAGGTTGTTTGCATTGCATACGTCGGGTGCGAGTTCAACACTGAGGTTGCGAGGGTAACTCTTCCTGCAAAACTTACAGACTCGGCTTTCCATCCTGACAGTTTATTATCAAGCCGATCAATGATATACCTGTATGTCTCCTTAGTCACTCTTCCATGAAGGACTGGAATACCGAGGTACCGTCCCAGATCCTGGGTTGCTGGGATACCAATCTGACGTATGATCGCCTCACTCACTGGTCTCGAGGTGTTGCTAGAGAAATAGAGAACTGATTTCTCTTTGCTAACTCGTTGACCCAAAGCCAAACAGAACTTTTCCAGACACTTGAGGATGATCTGACCTTGACGTTCAGAGGCCTCTGCAAAAAGGATTAGATCATCAGCGAAAAAAAGATGAGAGAGAGGCAGGCCACCTGGTGAAGTTCGGATCGGCTTCCATTTGCCCGTGTCAACTGCATCCTTGATAATATGACTCAATCTCTCCATGCAGAGGGTAAAGAGGTAGGGGGAGAGCGGGCACCCTTGTCTTAGGTCGCGGGACGGCTTGAAGGGTTCTGTCTTCTCACCTCAATCAGAGCTCTCGGTACGCGAGCTGACGTCAGCGTACCCCGAATGAAGGACCACTAAGCCTATCATAAGCCTTTTCCAAATCAATCTTGACCACTAACTGACCTTTCTTCCCCGGATTCAGACCCATGGAGTGAACTACCTCCTGTAGAATGATTATGTTATCCGTAATATGGCGACCTGGGACGAAACTAGTATGTGTTGGATGGACCAGTCTCCTCATCAGTGGCTTGAGCCGGTTCGCTAGGCATTTTGTAAATGCCTTGTAGGACACATTGCATAGACCTATCGGGCGGAACTGGGATATCAAATCCGGGCTTTCCTTTTTGGGGATCAGCACTATCATCGTCTCATTCACTGCAGCAATGTTACTAGGAGTCGTCAGACAGCTCGCTACAAATTCCGAAAAGGACCGACCAATGATGTTCCAGCTTTTCTGAAAGAAGACGGGGTGGAAACCATCCGTGCCTGGGGCTTTGAGACTCCCCATACCTTTGATTGCCCACCAAACTTCCTCCTACAGGATAGGCCGACATAGAAACCTGAGCTCCTCCCCGTCGAGCTCCTCGAATGAAGCGGGGATGTTCTGGACTACTCCAAGATCAGCTGTGAACAAGTCAACATAAAAAGCACGCGCTAGCTCCTTCAACTGGGCTTCATCTTCAATCCAATTCCCCGTCTCATCTCTTAAGCTTTTGATCTTGTTAAAACTACATCGTTTGATGGTAGACAGATGATAGAATCGTGTATTCCTATCCCACTCAACTATCCAAGTCGCTCGCGATCGTTGTAGCCATAAGAGGTTTTCTTGCCATAATGTAGTCACCAACTCTTCTCTCGCCAGACGTTCCTCTTCGATCGAAGCAGCAGTGGCCCTGTGTTCGTTGTCCCTCTCAATCTTCCTCAACCTTCTGACCAGCTCCTTCTTCCTCCTGATAATGTGTTCGAACACCTCGATGTTCCATTTCCGCAAGTCCAGTTCCAGCTGTTGGAGCTGCGCCAGAAGGGCGTGAGCTTTACTCCAGGCGACTGTCGCCAGACCTACCCTGAACAAAGATTGGTATGTGGTCTGAACCAATTCTTTCCAGATGTCTGGTAATCGTCCTAGGAAACTTAAGCACCAAGCTTTGTTACATAAAGCCCTATCTAGACGCTGGTACAAGTTACCCCGCCGCCAGGTATACCGAGGCCCACTATAATCCACCATATGAAGACATGCCTCATCAATGCATCGACGGAACGGTCTCACCCTTGACTCCTGGAAACCGGCTCCTCCCATACGATCCGCCAGGCTCAAGATGGAATTGAAATCGCCGGCCAGAAGCCATGGCATGGTACAAGCGTTCGCGATGTGCTTAATCTCCTCTCATAGATCCGCCCGCTGTGAAGCGTTCGGGCTGCCATAAATTGCAGATAAAAGAACTTCCGAGTTCGGCGAGCTCTGGCGGGCACATTTGAAGTGAATCATCTGCTCCCACTGGCGGATAGGTGTAACCTGGACTTCGTGCTTCCGCCAAAGGACCCAAATCCCACCTGCGAAACCCACAGAATCAATCAGTAGTACACCGTCAAAGCCCGTGCGCGCAATGACGCCCCGTACTTTGTCCCCACTAATGAGGGGCTCCATAACAAAGACAATATCAGGTTGCCTAGACTGACAGCAAGAAAGTAAAAAAGACACAAATTGGTCATTTCCTGCCCCTTAGCAGTTCCACTCAAGAATATCAAACATCAAATACAATAAAAAGTATGGGATAGAAACTTCCCTACACCACCGGGTAAACTGGTACTTAAGCTTGAGGCGAGTCTAGAGAAGGAAACTTCTCCGAAACTGATAACGATTGGCCATTAAGGCTTGTAACGAATCATGTACCCTCAGCAGGTGATGCCCCTGGCGGTTGCGATGGTTGATTAGATTCCCCCGTGTTGGGAACTATCCTATCTCCAGGTCATAAAGAACCCTTAACAATGTGGTTTCTCTCCAAGGGCAGGGTTGTCTGCTGGGTAGATGAGGCTTTATCCTTATGGACCAGCACACTCGATTGAGAAGTCATATTAACCGGGACTTCCACCATCTGGGTCTTTGCTCCCGAAGTCTGTGACAAGTGGGTAGATGCAGCCTTCACTCTATCTTTTATCGGCTACGGGACCCTGCGAGTAGCAGGTGGGTTCTTGTTCGATTTTGTTGGCCGGCTACTTGTAGGTTTGGACGTCTCGATCAGGGTCTCCTTGTTAGTAACCGGTAAAGTTTCCATTTGGGTATCCATGGCCTCTTCACCATTATCCTCTTCCAGGACTTGAAATCGAGAACCCGAGTTAGCTTTGTTACCTCCACGAGCTACTGTTTTCGTTCCCTCCTCCTGCTTCTTCTTGCGTGGCTTAGCCACCATCCAGTCACCATAAATTGCATCGGTTGCCGGCCCCTTTTAAACTGGTTTCTCTTGTGCAACAGGTGGAGTCAGGCTAGGTGCCTGTGCAGCTTGCTGTCGAAAGATAGTTGGGCACGTGGTTTTGGCATGGCCATATTCGCCACATTCAGTGCAGATTTTATAAAGACCCTCGTACTCGATATAGTACGTAGTTCCCTCAATCCGGTACTGCGATAACAAGGGCTTAGTAAGGTTGACCTCCACACATACCCAAGAATATTGCGTACGTTCACACGTCAGTGTTGCACGGTCAACCCGAAGAGGCTTTCCAATTCTCTGTGCTATGCGTTCCACTGCTTCTCTGTCAAAGAAATCGAGCGGTAACTCTGGCAACCGAACCCAGACAAGGGTAGAGGCCACCTCCGCAAATTTGGGATTAAACTCTTTCCTCCAATGACGCACCGTCAGGTAGTGTCCACCGATCATCCATGGTCCACCCACGGCGGCTTGCTCGTAGTCAAACCGGCTCGTGAATCTCACCACGTAGAACACATATGATAAGCTCGATATTTGTAAGCCGTCGTGCTTACCCCATATTGTCTCTAGGAGCTTCGCTAGTACCGGGAATGGGAACGTACGACCGAGTACCTTCACAATCAAAGCTAAGCGCCATTTCCGTCGATAACGTTGTTTCTCCATCGCGGTGAAGGGGATTGTAGGGCACCTAGGATTATCCTCATCAGGGATATCATCATCTTGATCCTCCTCCCTCATCGCTTCCGCGATGTCCTCCGAATCCGACTCCGCGACGTACCAGGCGTCGCTAGCCAATAGCTCACTAAAAGACTTCTTCCCTGTCAAGACCGACTCTGGGAGGGCTCCGCAGGCGATCCACCGGGCTCTTCCGCCATAACTTCGTCCGCTCCAAACAGCTGCCCTGCACAAGAGGGTTTCGCTTTCTTCCTAGCCCGACGCGTCTCTTTTTCTGTTTGGTTGCTCGGCGAGAACATCTGTGCGCAAGCGAAATGTCAACAAGGGTTTGCTCCGAGAAACGCTGAGGAAAAAACCCTAATTGTTCCGAACCAACCTGCAAATGTACAAATAAAACCCTACTAGCCAGCTTTATAATTATAACACTATTAATGGTATCAACTTATAATATTTTTATTTATTAGACAACGGTTTATTAACGGGTTTATAACAGCTTAGTACCGGTTCAACCAATAAAGTATGAACCGCTTACTATATCAGTTGATATACTGGTTCGGTTCTGGCAACCTTTATTTTAGGGTTTTTTTTTATGTGTTTCTCTCTCGTTGCTCAATCATTGAATTTCACCTACCAGCACGAGCTCTAAAAAGAGACGGGATGGTATAAGAGAACCCCCTGCAAGTCCGCAACCGAGAAATTGGAGCCACTGTGATTGGTTCAATAAAGGACCTCTCCTCTCAGAAGCCTCCCCTCGCCACGCAGTCGAACCGAGAGAGGAGAGAGCCGCTCCGTTCCTTCCTCACCACAGCTATGCCGGAACTCACGAAGCTCTACTCGATGCAGGAAGCTTCCGAGCACACCTCGAAGGAAGATTGTTGGATCGTCATTGATGGAAAGGTGTCACTCTCTCAAATCCTTTTCCTCTCTGTATCTCTCTATCTCCCTTCAATTTTCAGAACTCTAGGTTTTGGGGAGGGTTCGTTTGTTGACTTCTCGTTTAAATGTTTGATGTTTCTCGCATTGGTCAATCCGATTCCTATCTTGTTGAAATTTGAGCTTCCCAATTTCTGGGTCTGGGGGTTCCCCCCTATTCTCAAATGGTTTGCAGCTTGAACTTCTTTTTAATGCATGTTTTGATTGTGGTGCTTTGCCTTTGGAGCTAGAATTGCTGGGTTGTAGTGAAATTATGCAGTTGTTCCAAGGAACAAACATTAGGAATTTTCGAGCTTCGACGTTCTTGTTTTGTGAAGAGATTCAAGTTGGGTATTCTTACTATATGTCACTTTTTCCACCTATCTTGCTCTAGACGACCATAGATTCCTTACTCTAGTTGACATCAGTCGTTATTTAAGATCTTCTACAACCACTATGCACTTTTAGTTAGGGTTCAATGAATTCAAATGTCTATTTGCATTGAATAAGGTGAAAGACTCACTACTGTCTGCTGGCCAAGCTGGTTATTGGTGCCAAAAGTGGTTGTGTAGCTGCAAAAGCTTCAGTATCTGTGACCTTATACTTATCTGTACTTTCAATGTCTATTTGATATGATAACCTTCGACACCTAGGTTGCTCATTGCCTCTTTATATCGACCTCTGAAACCAGAAGACTTCTATTACGATGCATTAGAGAACAACCAAGTCAAATGACAGTCTGAAGTAGTTCAGGGCACAGCGGATTTTATACATTTCTGTGAAGAACTTCTAAAACACTAAGGAAGAACAATATTGATCCTGATAATTTGCGGAAATAGAAACAATTGATCACCTTACAGATTGGACTGTGTTGCAGTTACATTGGTATGTAATGCATTGTATCAATTGTCAAGTTCTTATGGAGAGTGGTCCTTTCTAATGTCTTTATGGAAAATACCAGGTCTATGATGTAAGTTCGTACTTAGATGATCACCCAGGAGGAGATGAAGTCATCCTTCAAGCAACAGGTACTCCTCCCTCCCTGCACCACTCACATTAATGATTATAACCTGTCCCTTAACATCATGTTAACAAAACTATTGCCTTCTCCGTAATGAAGGGAAAGATGCGACAGATGATTTTGAAGACGTGGGGCACAGCCAAGATGCGAGGGACCAGCTGAAAACCTTCTGCATTGGGGAGCTAGACTCATCGACTGCACCGCCAGCCATCCCAGAGCTCAAAATTGTCTCCAAAGGCCAGACTTCATCAGACACTGTGAAGAGGCTCAAGGACTTGATGAAACAGTACTGGGTTGCACCTGTAGCAGTAGTTGGCATCTCTATTGTGGTTGGCCGCATCTTGTACTTGCGTAAGAATTAGAGAGGGGAATTCAAGCTTATCCATCAAATATCATGTCCCTATCACTTTCTTAGATTGTTATCGCAGCAAAAAATTTGGAATAGTACAGCACAATGATTATTTGGAAAGTGGCTCATCCTAACCATTTCCTGCAGTTTTACATTGTTTTTTACTCGATTCTCCCGCAAGTGAATCATATGAATGAGTGATATGAGGAGCTTTAACAATGGTTCTGATGGATCGTATGATGTCTGTTTACCGAATCTCTTTTATTTGCGAGGTATAGAAAAGGAACTAGCTAAAATTTTCTCTGCGGTGGAGAGTCGTATTATTTCTCCTGCCGACGCGTGGAGTGTTATGTTGAGTGCAGCCGTCGGTCAGCCTGTTGTTACTGGATTTGTGGCCGGTGTCCCTGTCTCCTTTAGCCCGTTTAGCTACTCTGAGTTTCCTCGGAACCTTCGATCGGAGAGTCTTTGTTGAGGTAGGCGAACAATTTGTTTCTTTTAAAGGAGCGTGAATCATGGCGGAGGAAATCGATGCCTACTAAATATGTGGTGGTAGACAATTCGACTATTGTGCTAAGGCCGAAAAGTGTGAGGATGTACTCACACGGCCCAGATTCACCCACGTGAGCGGAGCTGGGAAAGTAAGGCTGGGATTGCTTGGTTTGGGGTGGGCTCGTGCAAGAGAGAGGAGTGCGGGAAAGTGAGCCGGCTCAGCGGCTTCGGCGGAGGGAGGCGGGGCCTGCCAGGTCAGCGATGCGGGACCACCAGGTGAGAATTCAAAATTTCTCTCCCTCCTCACTCCAACCGTCTTGTCACCTCTTCTTTCTTTCACTTCTCTCTTTGCCTCTTTGCCTTACTCTCCTCTTTTCTTCTTTCTTTTATTTTATTTTTTCGTTCTTCTTTCTCTCTTGGCTTCCCGACCAAAGAAAACGCCACCCCACAACTTCAGCCGCCTCCGACGAAGCAAGCGCAAGCCTCCTCCAACGAATATTAAAGCCCCCGACGAAGAAAGCGTAAGCCCACGAAGAAGAAAGCGTAAACCTCCGACGAAGAGAAGTTGCGACTGCGAGGAAAAAAGAAGGCACTGCAGTTTCTCCTCGTTCTTTTGGGTTTGTGTTTTCCATTTCATTACTTTTGTCCTCCTTAGGTGCCTCGTCAATCTTATCCTTTTTACGGTTTTGTGAATATGAGTTGTGGGGTTTTAGGGTTTGGGGAACGATTTGGGGTTTTAGGGTTTCCGGAACATGATTTTGGGGGGACGATTTGCGTGTTAGGGTTTTGGGAATACGATTTTGGGGGGACGATTTGGTGGTTTAGGGTTTCGGGAATACGATTTTGGGGGACGATTTGAGGGTTAAGGGTGTCGGGAATACGGTTTCGGGGCGACAATTTGGGGGTTTCGGGAATACGGTGTTGGGGGGACGATTTGGGAGTTTAGGGTTTTGGGAATTCGATTTTGGGGGATGATTTGGGAGTTTATGGTTTTGGGAATACGATTTTGGGGCGGGACAATTTGGGAGTTTATGGTTTCGGGAATATGACTGGTTTCATTTTAAACATTGGTTATTTGCTTTGTGAATATAACTTGATGCATGTTGAATATTACTGCGGGTATTTGAGAAAGCAACTGGTTTTGTTTTGAATATTGGTTATCTGCTTTGTGAATATTACTTGATGCATGTTGAATATAACGTTGCTTTTTTGAGAATACACCTTGTTCCATTTTCAATATTTGTTCTCTCGTTTGAGCATATTACTTCATGCATGTTGAATATTATTGCGAGTATTTGAGACTGCAACTGGCTTGGTTTTGAATATAGTTTATTGTTTATTGTTTTGTTTTCTTGCAGCCCTTGGGAATAATGGATCGGTCTAAGAAAAAGGCTGTCAAATGCAATACTCCACCAGTTAGCGATGCTGAGATTGAAGCTGATGAACCATACATAGTCGAATCTATTGCCCTTGAGTAGGTTGAGGCTGCTCGTGCTGCTGCTCAGAAGGCTGAGGCTGAGGCTGCCCGTGCTGCTGCTGAGAAGGTTGAGGATGATGCTGACCGTGATTTTGCTGAGGCCGCTACAGAGGAACATGCTGCTCGTGGGAAGGCGGCTGTTGCTCGTCCGAAGGAAGCTGCTCGAAAGAAGACTGTCGCCTCCACTTCTGTTCCAGGCTTCCAGCCACTCTAGCTACTTCTACTCCAGCCACATATGCTCCAGGCTCTTCTGCTCTGGTGAAGGCTTCGAATTCTGCTGCTGGTGAGCCACCTCCCAAGAAATCACAGGCAGAAGGCAAGAAAGTGCATGCCACTCAGCATCGGTGCCACCTTGCAGACTCGTGGAAGCTCGATCCGAACTATTATGAGGCATGCCTAAAGGAGCTACATAAGGCTGGATTCGATGGCCTGTTGGAGAAAAGGAAGCTTTCGGTTGAGAAAGAGTTGCTGCTCGCATTCGTACGACACTACGACCCTCCTTCTGGCACTTCCATTTTCGGAGTGAGATCAAAGAAGAAGGTGCTCACCTTGGAAGACGAGGACGTCAGCCATGTGTACTGGATATAAATGCAGCATAGTAAGAACTATATTCGGATACAATACATGTTTGTCTTCACAGAATACATGTTCTAAGTGATAACAATACATATTTGCTTGCAGAAAATACAACTTCACCTTTAACATAACATAACAGACATTAATTCATTTGCTGATTGGTGACTCGGTATTGTCATCCTCTGATTCTAAATCTTCCCACATGGGCTCCTCAAAGTCATCATCAGAGGGGAACTTCAGCTCATCTTGGTTGTTGTGATCCAACCATTCTATATACCCACAACCCACATCATCCTTGTCCTCGTACAAAGGACATCAGAAGAATATCCTCGGGGGTTTGCCTTCCTCAATTTCAACACGATATGTTTGAGACATATAATACTTGTTTTAGGTTCAACTAAGCCTGGAATGGTTATAAAACCATTACCGTAGAGTGCCATATATTTTATTTGTTTCAGGTAAATGAAATGAGAAATTGGCATTGCTAAATGGAGTTAATTGGGGCACGGAACTGAAGGGCGGAATGATATTTGGGGAGGAATCTTTTGGACGTGAAAAAAAAAATACTGGGAAGGAATTCTTTGGAGATATAATTCTTGGCGGAAGGAATTGTTTGGGGCCAGAGTTGTTTTGGGCGGAATTATTCTGAAAAGAGGAAATCTCTTGTGGGCGAAATAACCAGAGAAAGCAGCTGGGAAATTACGGGACCGGGCAAAAGGACGAGACTTCTTTTGGGAGATCTCATCAACATATCGTGTTGAACCTAAAACAAGTATTATATGTCTCAAACATATCGTGTTGAGAATAATGATCATGTTCCAATCTTCAAGACCATGGCTTGGGCATCTCATCAACAGCCCCTTGTAGTGCTCCCATGCCTGAGTCAGACTCCCATTTCGAGAACCATTATTTAGGGCATCCCGAAACTCCCTTTTGATTCCATTGAAGAAAATAATGATCATGTTCCAATCTTCAAGACCATGGCTTGGGCATCTCATCAACAGCCCCTTGTAGTGCTCCCATGCCTCAGTCAGACTCTCATCATCAGCCTGATTAAAAGTAACAATCTCTTCTTGCCTCTTCATTGCCAAGGTAGGTGGGAAGTATTTATCCAGAAAGACCTTCTCAAGCTGAGCCCATGTCGTGATGGAACGTGGTGTTAAGTTCGGACACTAGTGTGATGCATTCCCTGTCAGAGAGAATGAGAACATCCGAAGACGAATTGCATCATCCGACACAGTTGGGCTCTTCATCGTATCACATATGCTCGCGCACCGGTGGAGATGTTCGTGAGGATCCTCACTGCTAGCCCCAGAGAAAGTATATCCATTGGTGATCATGTTGATAAATGCTGGGGTAATCTCCATGGTTGCATCCCCAGCCGGAATGACAACACATGAAGCTCGGGCTCCAGTCCGTCGATTCAAACGAGCCCTGATCAAACGATCCTCGTCTGCCACAATGACAGGCTCAATGTCACGAGGTGGTGGCGGTGTCGGTGGTGTAGGGATGACAGGTGATGAAGCCTGCCCTATCTGTTGACGATTATTGGTTAGGGAAGGCCTAGGAGTTGTGGTTGTGGTTGGCTGCTTCCCTAACTTGACCTGCTTCCTGTTCTGTCGGCAGGTCTTCTCGATCTCCGGATCTAGTGGCAGTAAATTGCTAGTCGTCCTCAACAAAAATAACACTAACACCCAGATAAACCTGAAAATTCTTCTGCACACTAACACCCAGATCAAAATAGTTCACTCACAAAAATCAACAAAAATAAGGTATGGCAATTGCCGGCAACGGCGCCAAAAACTTGATAGGGCAAAAGCATAATGCTTCAATTCCTATCTTGTAGTAAAACCGGAAATCCGGGTATCGTCTCTCAGGGACTGGTACAACCTTATATTCTATCAATTCTATGGAGCAAACTATAGGTGAAAATGGTTTGAGTGATGAAACTATTATCTAATGGAAAAATAATTAAACAAAATAAGCAAATTAAAAATGGTCGGGTTGAATTCAATGGTAGAAAGCTCTGGGAGAAACACCGGGACTCACTACCTATTCTATCCAGATTAATTCACATAATCCAATCAATTTAATACAACTCTCTATAGCCAGGATATCACGAATGTGCTAGGTATCCCTGTCGGGAATTACTACGTACTAAACAATTAAATCAAGTCCTACTGTCGTAGCTCAATGACTTAATTATTTAGCCTAAAGATCGATATCCTATTTAAGACCACATACCACCTTATTTAATCCACTGTCGCTTCGATAAGTTACTATGTCACATGAAATATGTTCAGTTATTAGGGTTTCACTGTCGCTAATAACCTAATCAACTACAAATCGATGTATTGGTGGCCAGTCAACACAAAGCATTAAGCAATTCCATGCAATAGAGATTGGAAGAAAAGACATACGAATTAATCCATCAAATCTAGAAATAGCTACATCCTATGGTGTTTCCCCCAGAAATTGGGGTTTAGTTCATGACGAAAATAAAACACACAATCATGTTTATAATCATCATCGTATCAATTAAAGCTAAAAGAAAAATACTGAGATTCTTGAACATAATCCCGGCAGCAGCTCCTTCTCGCTCCAATCGCCGATTTCGCTCGCAAGTCCTGCCGCCGGCGCTGCTCTCCCCGCGAGCTTGGCGATCTCCCAAAAGAAGTCTCCTCCTTTTGCCCGGTCCCGTAATTTCCCAGCTGCTTTCTCTGGTTATTTCGCCCACAAGAGATTTCCTCTTTTCAGAATAATTCCGCCCAAAACAACTCTGGCCCCAAACAATTCCTTCCGCCAAGAATTATATCTCCAAAGAATTCCTTCCCAGTATTTTTTTTCACGTCCAAAAGATTCCTCCCCAAATATCATTCCGCCCTTCAGTTCCGTGCTCCAATTAACTCCATTCAGTAATGCCAATTTCTCATTTCATTTACCTGAAACAAATAAAATATATGGCACTCTACGGTAATGGTTTTATAACCATTCCAGACTTAGTTGTCACATTAGGCATCCCAAATAAGACGAATTTGACTTTTGTCAAATTACACCTTCAATCGTGACAAAAGCTAAGTGACAAAAGTTACATTTTGTCACAAAAGCCCAAATTTGTTGTAGTGTTTTCAAGTAATGGTGACTTGCAAGTCACCATGGGCATACCCTTTTACACAGCACTAATACCCAAATAAAACCAAATAACCAAACTACCAAAAGCGTATAATTTTTGTAATGATAATCGGTATGGAATATTAACACCTATAATTTGATGTCAAATATTCCAACTAACAATTCAATAACAAAAACCAAATCCAGCATAATATATAATCACGAATAACAACTATCAAAACCAAAAGTAAGAGAATGTATGTAACATTTAATAGAAAATTGAACTAATTGTCAATGTGCTATAAACCCAATCCAAAACTGCCTCGCACGTAAAATGAGAGAAACATAAGACCCTTTATTTTTTCAAAGACTCCCAAAAGGCTATGTACAATAACTTATTTTGAAAACCAACCCTTATTGTAGTCCTATTTCATTATGCTTTCAGGGACCATGGATAACAGAAATCATAAGCACCAGATGCCTCGTCATAAAAACATGGTCCGTTCTGCTTGACGATCCATAAGCAATTCTCACAACGTGAATAGTCCCTCCTATAGATGTAGATGTCAAACCAATGCACCTTTTCCTCTCCCCACTCCATGGAGCAATAGAATTGTGTGGTTCGAAAGAAGTTTTGATGAAATTTCCAACTGAAACTATGGTGTGGTCTTAGCACTTGGAGCCCTAGATCGTATTCTTCGGACATGCAATGAAGTCTCAGTTCTCGCTCTCCTTCTAACTCGTTTCTCACTACCACTGTTGTTTTTTTTAACCGAAAATCCAACCAATGGCTTCTACTACTCGCTTCAATGAAAGAAGTTGCTAGTGTTAATGATAGGAGGACAACAAAAAAACAATTATGCATCCACATTTTTGTTTCTTTCATAGTTTAATCACCATAAGAGGCTTTGGGTTTGATTACTTATAGGAGTGAATCAATGCATGTGAGAGAAATCTATAAAATATATAAAGGCTTTTCCAAAAACTACCTTCACCATTTCAAAAATCCAGCCCTCCTACGCATCCACGTCAGCACCCTTCCGACCAATCAGATTTTTACTTAACTCCTTTTTTATTTATTTTAAGTTTTTCTATACCCCAATCAGAATGTGCCACTTAACTCTCTCTCTCTCTCTCTCTCTTATTTTTAAATCTCCCCTACTACTCTTAATTGATTCATATTTATTTCGCTTCAACTCCAAATTTAAATATTATTGCGCGAAAAAATCAGATTTTATGTGATCTACACAAGGATATCCATTTTGATATATATTTTTTTTAAACATAGCCACAATCATATATATACAAGGCATGTTCCTATTCGATAGTTGCGAAACTATATCAATATCATTCAATTGTACCGCCATAAAGTATATACTAACATAGATCGCAGAACAAATTTCTTATTCTACTGAGTTACTAAATAATATCAATGTTTAATTTTGTAATATCATAATAATAATGCACAACAATTTCATGGGTGCTAAAATATTGTCGTGCAGTACAAACTAATTTACCTTAAAAAAAATCATTTAGCGGCCAACTGGTCGGACTCAAAGGTATACACGATTTGAAATGAGAGAGGACAATGACAGACTGAACAAAATAGACACCTTAGGAGGAAAAAGTTACCAAAGTACATATTTCAAACAAAATTTACCCGGGTACCAAACTAGTTCTTGTTGTGTGATAGTTTCTATCGTAAGATCCGTTCAATAAATCTATGATAAGACAAATTGGTTGGCAATAGTAACATAACTAATGTACTAAATAGGGTCTTCATTTTTGCAAAGAGTTTCGGGAAATTTGACTATTCACATTTACAACTATTTCATTTAATAAGAATATATATATAAACTAACGATCATAAGATATATATATATATATACTCACTTTTTTGGGTGCACTCACTTCATAACCGTTATATTAAACATGCAATTTATGTCAAAATGATATGTCAATCATCACTTATGATGTGATGAACAATAACACACATGAATTTGCACAAAAACCATTAAAAATTTACATTAATTTGAAGGATTTAGGGTTTACGATTTGGGGTTTAGGGATAGAACTCAAAATTGGAGGTCTAAGGCTTAGGGTAATCCGCTAATTAGTTGTTATCATATGTTATATCATCATATTAAACTAATTCTACAAATTAAAATTCAAAATTCGACACCTTAATACTAGTTTTTGAGTTGGGTGCACTGAACGCACTCATTTTTGTGAGTGCACTGAAGTATTCACCACATATATATATATATATATATATATATATATATATATATATATATGGCGACTTCTTCTGTGCACTCACACTTCATAACCGTCATATTAAACATGCGATTTATGTCAAAATGATGCCAA